TGCTGCCTACTACTAAAATCTTTTACCTAGCCCCTCTCAGCTCTCAGAAAGAGCAGGAGAATAATGCGAATGGATACGTGTATGTGTGTGTAAGTGTCTTTATCTTTGTTATCTATGTAAGCATTATCTATATTTTTTATCTAAAGCGAAATGTGAGTTTTTACTGATATCTCCTATTCTAACCAATTATCACATAGACCATTCTAGCTTCCTCACTTTACTTATCTTTTACCTCCCATGTCCAACTGTGAAAAACACAACTCCTACCATCTGTTATACATTTGCCTCACTGATAAATAAATTCCAGCATGCATGCATAGTGGTTTCATACTTGACATAAGGTAGAAATCTCTAACATTTCAACAGCTTAAGCAACTACGTAAAGATCGTGTCTTCCAAAACTTAAAAACTTATATAATGCACAATTTAAAAAGATCGGAAGACATCCACGGCACAGATGGATTTAAAATAAGACGGATTGCCTTCATTACAATTCTTCCACAGCTAGTTACTTTTAGCTGCATGACCTTGAGTCACTTAACCTCTCTGAACGTGCTCTTTCATCTTTCAAGTGGGAAATATGGAATCAAACTCAACATATCTTTCTATGGTTACAATATGATTCTATAAGTACAGTGTCAAAATATTGAGTACAAAATGAATAATATTGAAAACAAAAAGTGTTCTAAAATTTTAGACAAATATTTTTAAATACTTCCATAACAAAATCTTTGATAGCATATCCTGTTATGATAATTAAATTTCCCTGATCCTTGCAGAATTCTTCGATAAATGTATATCTTAATATATTCCCATTGCAACTGAGTTTATTCCAATCAGATTACTATCCCCACAAAATTATGCAGTTATGTTTTGTTCATTATCATCTTTTAAATCCTTAAAAATTATGCCTTGAGGACGATGACCCCAAATACAGCAGCCAGTCCACAGAGAGGACCACATGGTCAGCCCCACTATGAGACGTGATGCCCCTCACTGACCCATGGCCCTGCTGGGGACAACACCAGTGACACAGTGTGGGAATTGCACCTGATCTGACCCCACCACA